CCGGCCGCTCCCGGCCACCACAGCCTCGACCTGCTGGGCTCCGGCGATCCTTCCGCCTCAGCCTTCCGCACCCAGTTAATTTTTGATTTACTGTAGAGATGAGGTCTCGGCAAGTTGCCCAGGCGGGTCTCGAACCTCAAACCAGGTGGGTCTCAGGCAATCCACTCACCTCGTCCTCCCAAAGCGCTGGTATTACAGGCTGAGCCACCAAGCCCGGCCAATAATATTCTTTTTCCTACAGCTTCCTAACTGTACCAAGTCCCATTACCCAAAAATAAAAAGATAAAACTAGTGTCTTGACTGATGTCAAATACCCAAAATGCTGTTAAATTTCTCATTCCCAAACTAATAGAACATCCTTTTAGTCATGTTCACACTAGGGCCTAGTAAGGGCAATGAGAGGTTCTACAAAGGCCCGCAGACACTCTGGTTCAGAACAAGAGATATCTTTGGGATATAGGGGCAGATGTATTGAGGGTGGCAGAACTTACCTACATCTCTACTCCAAGAGAAGTCAAGTTAAAAAATAAGAATTTTATCTGTCTGGGGATGGGGAGACACCTGTTATCAACAAGGGGACCTGAATGAAGCATATTTGTATACCTAACCCTTAACTGTACCCCACAATATCAAAATAAAAAATATTGATTAAAAAAAAAAAGTGAGAATTTTAAGCCGGGCTCGGTGGCTCAGCCTGTAATCCCACACCTTTGGGAGGCTGAGGTGAGTGGACTGCCTGAGCCTGCGGGTTTGAGACCCACCTGGGCAACTTGGTGAGACCTCATCTCTACAATAAATCAAAAAAATTAGCCAGGCGTGGTAGGGTGCGCCTGTAATTCCAGCTACTTGAAAGGCTGAGACGTAAGGATCGCCAGAACCCAGCAGGTCAAGGCTGCGGTGGGCGGGAGCAGTCACTGCACTCCAGTCTGGGCAACAGAGTGAGACTCCAATTCAAAAAAAAAAAGAAATCTCCATATTGAGGTCTCATTTATTTTCCATTCTTTTCCTTCCTTCCTTCTATTCCTTCCTCCCTCCCTTCCCTCCTTTTAAGGTGTGGTCTCACTCTGTCAATCAGGCTTCAGTGCAGTGGCAGGATCACAGCTCACATCAGCCTTGACCTCCTGGTTCAGATGATTCTTCTGCCTTAGTCTCCTAAGTAGCTGGAAATACAGGCACACGCCACCACACCTGGCTAATTTTTTACCTTTTTTTTTTTTGTACAGATGAGGTCTTACCGTGTTACTTAGGCCGGTCTTGAACTCCTGGGCTCAAGCAATTCTTCTGCCTCAGCTTCCCAAAGTGTTGGGATTACAGACATGAGCCATCATGCTCAGCTCCATATTAAGGTCTCAAATTGAGTAAGACTTCATAGACATGTGAGAGTTACAGAGTCTGAGATACCTGGGCTGAATAATGTACAAGTCGGCCAGGCTCGGTGGCTCAACTTGTAATCCTGCGCTTTGGGAGGCCGAGGTGAGTGAATTGCCTGAGCCCGCGGGTTCGAGACCAGCCTGGGCAACTTGGCGAGACCTCATCTCTACAATAAATCAAAAAAATTAGCTGGGCATGGTGACACATGCCTGTAGTTCCAGCAACTTGAAAGGGTGAGGCAGAAGGATCGCCTGAGCCCAGCAGGTCGAGGTTGCGGTGGCTGGGAGCATGCCATTGCACTCCAGCCTGGGCAACAAAGTGAGACTCCGACTTCAAAAAAAAAAAAAAAGAATATTCGTAAGAATGATATTCCCCAAGAGAGGATGTCTGCTAAAAGATATGAAAGGGAGAAAAGAGCTCTACTATTAGTAACTACTTGAGGATAAGCACTTGTTATCTACTCTAAGAATATCTCAGGCTATCCACTAAGGGGCGTGTATTTCCTACCAGAGCAATTTATCCTTTAGTAGGTTTCAGGACTGGTGGTTTATTGTACCTTAATCGTTAATGGAAACCTTGGTTGTCCAGTTCTCTTTGGTGTCATGAAACCACTGAGGTAATTTTCACACTGTAATGTTTTAACAGTCCAGCTATACACTCAGTAAAGATAGGCCTTCAATGCCATTTACACATGTTAATTATACTCATAATATAGTTTTACAGAAATGGCAATAACAATCATACCTAAGAGTAGCAACACAGAATCTACTTCTAACAGCAATTTGACTACATGCTTGTATTAACCCATTTCCCTCAAGCATATGGTGCACCACAACTCACACCTGCACACCCTTTTATCAATAAAAGCAATCATATTTTCACCTATGACATACATACGCATACACTGCTCTATGACTATGATTTTTTTTTTCTTTTTGAGTCGGAGTCTCACTCTGTCGCCCAGGCTGGAGTGCAGTGGCAGGCTCACGACCACCACAGTCTCAACTGCTGGGCTCAAGCGATCCTTTCACCTCAGCCTTCCAAGTAGCTAGAACCACAGCCGTGTGCCACCACACCCAGCTAATTTTTTTATTTATTGTAGAGATGAGGTCTCACCAAGTTGCTCAGGCTGGTCTCAAACCCCTGAGCTCAGCAAATCCTCTTGCCTCCACCTCCCAAAGTGCTAGGATTATAAGTATGAGCCACCGCGCTCAACTTGCTCTATGATTTGTTCCACTTTCCTTCCCTCTCCTGTTCTGTGTTGTTGGTCTTCAGACAGCCTGTTTTCTTCTACCTGGTCCTGGAATAATCACTCACATGTCCTCTACTCCCTGAGCCCTCCCACACTACATCCATATTTGCCTCTCTAGGAGAAATAGTTGGGTTTTCCCATGTTTAAAAAACCCTCAGCCAGGCATGGTGGCTCACACCTATAATCTTAGCACTTTGGGAGGCCGAGATGAGAGGTTTGCCTGAGCCCTCGGATTCAAGATCAGCTTGGGCAACTTGGCAAGACCTCACCTCTACTGTAAATCAAAAAATTAGCCGGGCATGATGGCACACACCTATAGTTCCAGCCATTTGGAAGACTGAGGCAGAAGGATCGCCTGAGCCCAGCAGGTCGAGGCTGCATTGGCCAGGAGCATGCCACTGCCCTCCAGCCTGGGTGACAGAGTGACACTCCAACTAAAAAAAAGAAAAACCCTCACTAGTTCAGGAGAGAGAAACTGATGTGCTCTCTGACTAGGCCTCTTCTCCACGTTAGAGAAATTTCACCTAGATCTTCCAGGGTGAGTGAATTCAACACTGCCTGATATACCAGTTTAGAAACAAAAACAAAAAAACTTAAAATGGAGGGAAGATCAGATCCCATAGTACAGGGGGAAAAGTCTTTACGACTCCTTCCTAAGAACATATAACCCTTCAGCTTTAAGTTGACTTTCCACTCTACCTTCCCTTTATTTCACATCCCTAAAATTGGAATCGAAAATATGAAAACAAATGAGAAACAGGAGACAGAACAGAAAGGTACTCACCATCACTGCCAGCTGTCTATAGGCCTTCTTCAGTTCAACATCGGATGCTGTGGCTTCAACCCCCAGTACATGGAAAGGGTTTAGCTCATCCTCAGGAACCCCAGCCATAGTCAAGAGTCGAGCCACTTCCTCTTCAGGCTGGCAGTAGCGCCCACTAGGTACAGGTATATTCCCCTGCCTGTTAGTCCTCTGCTTGACCCAAGGCAACTCCAGCCAGCCCCACTGCACTATTCTTACCAGCTGCTGCCATGGCCTGCTATCTCTCAGCAGACTTAAGTAACGCTGCAAGGCTGGAGAATTCAGCCAAGAGAAGAGCCTGGAGGCTTTATCCCTCCAACCTAACCGGTCACCCAGTCCCACCATAAACCGCCAGCCTAACTGCAGACAGCCCAAAAAGAGGGCCAGAGCCAAGAGCAGCAAAGCACCCAGTAGCCTAAGAAAACGGGTAAACAGCCCTGCCCCATGGTAAAACCCCTGGCTTAGAAACTGGAACACCACCTGGCCCCAGCCTCCCAGCCGCCCTGCCCAGACTCCCACCCAAACTCGAAAAAGGTCCAGATCACTGCTTTTCAGCTGCCTGCATGCACAGATGAGATGTCCACAAGTTTCTACGTACTCTCCCACCAAAACCAGCAGTTCAATCAGCCACCAGAAGCCTGCCTGTCCGAGCTGACATAGTTCCTCTGCTCCCCACAATCCTAGGCCCCTGCGCTTATCTGCCTGACTTCGTTTCCGGCCTAGCCGATGTCGACCAGGGGACCTGGGATCTCTACGTCCACTCTCCCGAGTATCCTCCTTGGTTGGAAAGCGATGGTGCCGCTGTCTCCGGGATGGGGGCTTCTTCCCGCTGGACACGCGTGAAAAATCACTGGGGAACCTAAGAGATTCTTCATCATCGTATTCCTCTTCCAACTCTTCATCTTCCCCCAAGGCTGGAGAGGTACAATGGAAAAAGTTGCTAGAAGAGCCATCTCCTCCCTCAGAGTAAGGCCCTTCCGCGATTCCAGGGGTTCCCTGACAGTTGCAAGCAGTTGGAATGGAAAGAAAAGAAGGGTTCCCATCCTCCTGGTACCCAGCCTCATTCTCTCTTGAGAGTTCCTGGTCCACTCCTGACTCTTCTTCTGAAGATGCCTCGCTCTGATCAGGGCCTTCTCCATCCCTAGGTGGTCCTGGACCCCTTGGGGGGCCATGGCTTGGATCCGACCAATGGGCTGGGTTTGGGGGCTGTGTGTACTTAGGATCAGAGTGCTCTGTGAGGCAGCGGGTACCATTAGGAGCAGTCTCTGCTGAGTCCCTGAGTCCTGAGAATGAAAGTATTTCAGGGTCCACGGAGGATCCCAAAGTCCTGAGGGAGGCACCACTACTGTGGTGGGCTCCACACAACCCTCTTTCTCCGGGGTGCTTCTGGGCCATGACCCCGGGCTTCCTGGGGGTTTTAGGTCACAGCCATCATGGTAAGCTCTGATGCCTACAACAAAGATATCAAAGTGGGGATGGTCAAGGATGGGAGCCAAGAGAGGAGTTAAACAATCTTAAATCGGAGACACATTTAACACATCCACCTCCCTGATTTTCCCAAGTTCTTTGGGGACATTTGCTACCCCTAGCAATAAGCCTGAACTAGACTAACCACAACCCTGCCTGCTCCAACCCCCTCCTCCAAATCACTTAGTTTTTCTTCCTTCTCCAGAAAGCTATAATCTTCAATCAGGGAAAGTGGGAGGTGCCGCAAAGGGTGTGGTCGGGGGCGGGGGGGGGTCGCTCTTGGCAAAAAGGCTAAGACGGCCGGAGAGAGGGGCCGCAGCCTGCCAGAAAAGGGTGGGGACCGTGCGGCCCCTGAGGAAAACCTGGGGGCGGGGCTTCGGATCGCCCCTGAGACCCACCGGGAACCCACCGGCTGGGGAGAAGGGCGAAGGTAACGTACCGAAGAGCGGCGGTAACTCCTCCCCCACGAGCAGCTGGGCCTGGGGCCAGGGGGAGCTACGAGGGCAGCTCCCCCGGCTCCGCCTCCCGCTCACGCTCTGCTTCCGCCTTCCGTCCCGGCCGCGGCCGCCGACTGGCGCTGGCTTCCACTTCCAGGGTCAGCAGAGAAGAAATGGGAAGGCATAGGAAAAGCGGTTGGCCGAGGCGCGGACCAGTCCAGAAAGCGCTCAACTCAGAGGAGGCGGTCCTAGGGAAGCGCTGGCCCCGCCCCTTAAAGGACCCTCTACAGCCGCTCTCCGCGCGCTGGAATGGGATCCGCGCGGCTTGCACCGCTGGAAGCAAAGCAAGTGGGCTCTGCACCAATGCCTGCAGACTGGGGGCAGACTCTCAGGACTGCTTGGCTGTATTCCTGGGCTTTCCCGAGACTGGGAGATGAAGGACAGCCACCGAGCCACACATAGTCTGTTTCCCTTGCAGACAAAAGCAGGGAGCTCAGAGGAGTCACTGCCCTAATCCCTTCCCTGCCGGCTGCAGCGAGGACAGAGGCCCCTTTGTATCCTGCAGAGGTGGAGCGGAGGAGAGGCTGGCCCCCGCCCTGCCCCCGCTGCGCTGTCCCTTCTTTCACAGCAACCCCCGGCCTCCCCCGCGGCTGACCTAGCTGGCGAGCTGCCCCCTTAAAACTGCAGCTCCCACAGTCCGGATCCGCCCCTCGTCGCAGCTCCCAGGCCCGATCTCGGAGCGGTGCCGGGGGACTGGAGCGTAGCTCTGCTGGGCTCCGAATCACAGCCGAATGCCAAAGAACACTGAACTCATCTGCATGCCGCTTTGCATCTCATCTGCATACCAAGCCATTCGGTCGACGTCGACGCGCGCCCCCGCCCCCACGCAGAGCCAGCTGGGTCTCCAGTCTTGGCTCCCCTCCTCTGCACGCTTCTCTAGACTTAGAGCGCTCCTATCAGTACCCCTTCCGGGCCCTGTCTAGCCCTACAAGTTTTTCCACCCGTGCACCCCCCCCGCCGGTGCTCCCAGACCAGTAAATGCCCCTTCCCTAGGTCCCCGATCCCGACCACCCGGTTCTCCAGAAGACAATACTCCAATTCTCTGGAAAATGGAAGAAACCAAGCTGGAGCGGGGGGAGGGGGACACTGAGACCCCACTTGGGGCTGTGAGAGCTTCAAGTGGTCCGATGATCTTCTAAGTATTCAGAGACCTTTCCCCCAAAACTCTTGTCGTGTTTCCAAGGCCCGTACTTGCTATGGTAGGAGGTCTCTAGTCCTGGGCTAGAAGCTGTAGGCAATCTGCGTCCCCCCACACACCGGAGAAAGAATTGGAGGGCCCGCCCCGTGATGTCACCCCCCCAACACACACCCTGTCCCCTTCCTCCACCACCCCCCCCCGAGCTAGTTGCATTTAGCTCGCAGGGCTTGGGCTACGACTTGCAAGAGTTTAGGGGGCAACGAACAGAGTGGCCCTGGGGGTGCCCTCAACCGACAGCCGCCCCGGCGCCTAGGACCTCCGGGCAGGGATGCAGCTGGGAGTCTAGGAAAGCACTTCCACCCCTCCTCTCCTCAGCCCTGGCAGGGTGGTGAGTAGTTAACACCCCCTCCCCAACCTCCCCTTGTTTAGGGTCCCCAGACTTCCAACGGATTGAGGAGAGGAGTCCCAGGAATTCCCCCAAGCGAACCCTGCAGCCCGTTGGGACCTTGATATCCAAACACAGCTGAAGTAAAGTGCCTGCATCCACGCCACCTCATTCCCACGGTGCCCCAAATGCCAGACCCTCCACGGTGTTCTCCTTGCTGGATCTGAATGCAATCCCACTGGCAGCTCTGATACCCCTGGGGGAAGGGTGGGGTAGGAAAAGTCCCACCAGTGTCCTGAGGGGAGGAGCAAGTGGCTACCGGCATGTGAGATGTCTGTGGGCAAGGCGCCTGCTGACTCGGTAAGGGGCTGTGGGATTTGAACTGTGGCTGATGCGCCTTCCTCCAACAACTTCATCTCAGCATGAAGCCGAGGCTTCAAAACCCTGGCAAACTGTGGTGACTGTCTCTACCTAATTCCTTGTCCCAAACTCTTGGCGTCCTTTCTTCCCCTCTTTCTTTCCTGGGTTTCTAACCGCTGTGGGGAGACCCCACCATGACTCATTTTCTCCTCTTCCTCCTCCCTCTCCCCTCTCTATTAACCCCACCCTTCCGAATCCAGTGGGTTAGTATTGAGTCCCTGCTGCAGATGGAGCCAGCCTTTTCTGTTGGAGCAGGCTGCCGGGGCCTAGCTCCCCTTCCCTCCCCCTTAGTTTCCCCACAACCCCTCCCTTCACACATAGGGCTTCCTGCTCCTCTCACCCTCACCCTGAAAAGCTGGGGGGCAGACAAAGGCTTGTTGCTTCATGAGATTTTCATTAGTTTAAATTTTACTTCATGTCCTCGTTTCAGAGGGCGGTAAAGACGCACGCCGCTCCCCTCAACTCAGTCCGGTAAATTTCTTCAGTTGCCCCAACAGGGTCATGCTCCCTCCTGAAACTGGCCATTCTTCGAAAGAAATGGAAGTAGGGTCCTCGAGATTCATGGGCACCTGAGTTTCTGCCCTCTGCTCCCTTGCAGGTTTCTCAACCCCCTCCAGACATTCATGGATGGATCAGAGGAACTGACGCTGCCCTCCTACCCAGTGACCACCTTTTCTTTGGCCATGGAGGAAGCCTTGCTGCCCCTCACTGTGACGTCTGACCCCAGGCCCTTTAATCAACAAACCCCCGAGCCTCCAGATCCAAGATGTGTTTTGGAACCCCAAGACAATCCTGAACTGGCACCTGCCCTGGTGTGTGCCCTGTGCTGCTGCTTTGGAATCATCTACTGCTGCTTTGGTGAGGGCAGGGCCAAGGACTTGGGGGGGCACTGCCCAAGACTGTCACCCTCAAGGATGAGGCCACCCTGTCCTCCTTGCTCCTGGGCCACTTTGCCTCCTGCACCAGAGGGTGCCTACCTTCAGGGTGGCCAGTGTTGCTCTTGCCAGCTTCTTGTCCATTCCCTGCTTATGCCCCCAAGCCCAGACCTCTAGCATTTATCATTTGCCTTCTTGCCTCCTACCTCAAAACTCCAGTTCTAAATTATTCTCCATGCTTAAGGCTTCTTCACCCTTCCCCCAAAAACCTGCATCAGCCTGTGCCGATTTCTTCCGATCTGCCATCCCTGGAAGGACCAGACCTCCTTCCTATACTTTCCCCCTCAGGGTATCCTCTTACTCTTCATTTTTTCTTCCATCCCTGCACAGCTCCTGAAGGTTCCACTGCCCTCCTTAAGGTCATCCCTTTCTGCCCCCAGCCTTGAGGTCCCTTGGTGTGCTGCTCCTGTCTTCTGCTCCTCTGCTTAGCCATTCGTCTCTGCCCCTTCCAAGTCATCAGAGCCATCCCCGAGAGGCCTTTTCTGCCTCTCAGTGCCTCCCGCCTCACTTCCCAGGCTACCGCTGCTTCAAAGCAGTAATGTTTCTCTCGGGCCTGCTGTCGGGAGCTCTGGTGATCTTCCTGCTGTGCCACAAGGAGCGGGTGCTGGAGACCCAGCTGAGCCTGGAGGTGAGCGCGGGCATCGCACTGGGCATCGGACTCCTCTGCGGCCTGGTCACCATGCTGGTTCGCAGTGTCGGGCTCTTCCTGACTGGTCTCCTGCTAGGCCTGACCCTGGGTGCCGGGGCCCTGCTGGGCACCGAGCCTGTCTACCAACCACCTTCAGCCTGGGTGCCGGCTGGGGGGCTGGTGGGGCTGGCGCTGCTGGGAGCCCTGCTGACGCTTCGATGGCCGCGTCCATTCACGGTTCTGGGCACAGCCCTGCTGGGTGCTGCGGTGCTTGTGGCCTGTGCTGACTACTTCCTGGAAGGGCTGGCACTGGGCAGTCGGCTGGGCCAACGCCTGCAGGCACTTCCAGCCTTGCCTCCTCTCTGCTGGTATAGCTGGGTCTTACTGGGGACCTGGCCAGCCTTGGGGGCCCTTGGGGCCCTGGCCCAGTGGAAGCTCCTGGCTGAGGAACATGGAGGCCACGCCAACGGTGAGTTAGAGCTGTGGTGCAGAAGTAGCCAACCCATGCCTGCTCAAGTCCCTAGGCTTGAGGAAGGGAAGGGGAGAAATGCACTTGAGGGAAGAGGCCGGGGAGGATGTCTAAGGTGAATGGGACAGGGAACTGGAAAAAAGTTGGAGTTGAAGGTGCCAAAGAAGGAGACTTTGTCAGGGAAAGTAGAGATGAGTGATTGGAACTGTTATGGAAGGAAGGGAGGATCTCAGGGAAGCCTAGAAGGAACGAGCAAGAGAATCCCAAAGAGTTTTTTTCATAACAAATGGGGGGAAGATGAGGCTTTAAAGAACCATAAGTGGGTTTCTCTAGAGTGTGAGTGCATTTGAGGGTGGGATTCGGGGTCTAAGCAGGCCCCCTTGAGTCTGTATTTCCCCCTCCCAAGCAGTGGTCTTGAGCCACCAGCGAAGGCATCTCCAACTCCTTCGGATCCGCCAGCAAGAGGCCAAGTGGCACCGGACGCCCTCTGGGGTGGGGCTTTGTGAGGGCAGCTATCGGCGCCAGCTCCCTGCCAGTGCCCGGAGCCCTGCTGACAGCCTGGCTCCAGTGAGTGGAGGGCGGGTGGGGCAATGCGCTGGGGATGGGCAGTGTAGGAGGGGGCTCTGACCCAGACCCCTCTTTCCACCCTTTCTGCCCTGTACCTGTCCAGAGTTACCTCCAGAGTCTCCGAGAGCGTCAACTGGGACCAGGCCCCCAGGCCACAGTCCCCCACACCGTCCTGGATCTGGATTCTGACTGTGGTTCCACTGTGCCCCTCACCACGCCCTCTGGTTCTGCCCAGACCTGAGTCTAAACCTCCACTTTTGCCCCCACCCCTGGTGAGGGCCTGGGAATACTAGGTAGGCAGGGCTTAGGCCCACAGGAAGCACACAAATTTCCCCACCTCTTAGACTCAGGGGTAGGATCTGTGCTCCAACCCAGACCAGCCCTGTAGGGATATATTTCAAGGACAGATGGAGAGGAATCTTGTGGGGAAGGGGGAGGAAGGGAAGCATGAGTACCTACCTCTGTCGAATAATAGAGGTCCCCTGATTCCCAAAGAATCTGACTCCATAACTCCCTCCAAACCAAGGAGGGCCCTTACCCAAATGGCCTTTTAAACTACCCACCTCTCCGGGCTCGGTGGCTCAGCCTGTAATCCCGTGCCTTGGAAGGCTGAGGTGAGTGGATTGCCTGAGCCCGCGGGTTCAAGACCTGCCTGGGCAACTTGGCGAGACCTCATCTCTACAATAAATCAAAAAATCAGCTGGGTGTGGTAGCACAGTATGCAATCACACAGTTCACATACCGTAAATGGGAAGCAAAAGTTCTTTTGCTAAATACCTCTTTATCAGTGCTTAATGTTTAGATCTCTACAATAAATCAAAAAATCAGCTGGGCGTGGTAGCACACGCCTGTAGTTCCAGCTACTTGGAAGGCTGAGGTGGAAGGATCGCCAGAGCCCAGCAGGTGGAGGCTGCAGTGGCCGGGAGCAACCCCGACCCTCTGGTCTGGGCGACAGAGTGAGACTCCAACTCAAAAATAAAAATAAAAAATAAACTACCCACCTCAAGCTGGTGTGGTGGCTTATGCCTATAATCTCAGCATTTTGGGAGGCAGAGGCGAGAGGATTGTCTGCACTCAAGGGTTTGAGACCAGCCTGAGCAACATGGCGAGACCTTGTCTCTGCAATAAATAAAAAAATCAGCTGGGCATGATGATGCATGCCTGTAGTTCCAGCTACTCAGAAGTCTGAGGCAGAAGGATCACCTGATCCCAGCAAGTCGGAGGCTGTGGTGGCCATGAGTGTACTACTGCACTCCAGCCTGGGTGATAGAGTGAGTCTCTGACTCAAAAAACAAAACAAAAACCCACCTCAGTGTGCCTCATGATGGTTAAATTAGGGGTTTCATGTTTATACGATCTATAGAAAATCAGGGAGCCTCCAAGGCATTCGATACCTTTTTGATGGGGAGACGGATACAGAGGCACTCCGGTATACCCCAACCCCCAGGCCCCTCATTAGGGGGTAGTTGTATTTCTGGTTGGCCTTTCCCCAGACCCTGTAGGCTTGAGCCCCTTCTGCTACCTCAGTCGGGAGCATTATCTTCCATGGTGCTTCCCCTTCTCTCCCTCTCAACCTGGGAAGACCACAGGGCAGTGCCTGCCTCGGGACCTGCCTCCCCCAAAAGCTGGCTTCTTGCTCCAAGGAGAGCATCGGACCACATGCCAGAGTCTTACCCTTTTGCCCAAAGGAGCCTGGTCTTCGGGACTGCATGGGAGACAAGTGCCTTCTCTGCCTCTCACTGTGGGTGACACTAATTTCCTCCTTAACCCAAACTTTGTTCTAGCCACTAACCCATTCTAATGCTTCCTTCTCTGACTCACCTGCCCAAGAGCTGTTCCCTGGTTCCTCAGACAGCATAAAGAAAGACATATCCCTCCCCACCTCGGGCAGCAAGGCTATGATGGGAGGGAGGAAGGGAGGGAGAACATGGGAGCATGTGAATAAAATGACATTGAATACTGAACCAGGAAGTCTGGCCTCTACTGTTGCTACCCTTTTGTTTCTGCACCCCAAAACAAAGTTAGCTGTCTTGACAAGTGCCCCATCCCCTAAAGATCTGACAGAGGTATCTTTATCAGGCAGACCACTGTAGGAGTCACACGGCTAGAGAAAAGAGCTGTTTTGTTTTTGTTTTTGTCTTAACATGGAGTTAACCTTTATTAAACACCAATGTGCCAGACATTGTGCCAGGCCCTTCACACAGAGTATTTCATTTAATGCAACAACCCTGCAGGACTGTTGCATTATTAACCTTATTCGACAAATGGGGAATCCAGAGTTCAACAAGGTTAATTAGCTTGCCCAAAGTCATGAGCAAATAAACGTGATTCTCAAGGGTTCCAAAGCCCTTGCTCATCTTACTGGCCATGCTGTGTTCTTGCACTTTACTGAGGGAAGAACAGGACCCAGGCATCTAGCCTCCTGGCTGTTGCCTCCTATCAGGTAAAGATTGACACCTCCCTCTACCATTGTCCTCCAGAAAGTAGCTGATCAGTTGGAAGTGCTAGCTACCACAGGAAGAAAGTAGATAGAGTTGGGGGCTGAATCTGACTTGGGGGGCACTTCCCAGGAGGGAGGGAGTGCAGTAGAGTGGTGGCTAGAGTTGGAACTGTTAGAGGCTGTATCATGCCCCTGTCTGTGGTCGTGCCCCTGCTGCACCATCTGCATGGTTCTACCGAAGAGATATTTGATCCAGGTCTTAGGCCTCCAGGAGGGTGACATTAGCTGGGAATGAAAGGGCGGTAGAGTTTGGGGCTGCAGAGGTAATGTTCAAGATTGTGTCTATGGGTGAGCGATCAGTGTTCAAGGTGGCTGAGGGAGAGGTGTCTCCACCAGTTGGTGTAGTTTCTAGGGTCCTGGGACGGCAGTGCATCCAGTTGTGGGCAATATTTCTGGGATAGCCTTTCTCTACGCGAAGCTGCCGGTTGAGGCTCCAGTACTTTTTATCCTTGAAGAAGAAGACTCGGCCATTCTGCCAACTCATAGCAGCCGAGGGTCGGTCTGGCACCCCCGAAAACAAATCCTTGATTGGTTTGGGGTAGCGACTGAAGTCAGTTGGGGCTAGCTCGTCCCACTGCCAGTACCCGGTGCCCTGGGTATGGGAGGGTGGGGAGGAAGAAGAGAGAGCTTAGGAATCTCCAGAGATCTACCCCAGGCCACTACAACTACAGGAGATCTCCCTTCAGGAGCAAGTCTTTGCTTTTCAGTATGAGATAGCCCACCTCCTTCAAGAAAGGTTTTACCTTGAGCCGGGGGATACTGGCTCACACCTGTAATCCCAGCACTCTGGGAAGCTGAGGTAAGAGGGTTGCCTGAGCTTTGGGCAACTTGACAAGACCTCATCTCTACGATAAATTTTAAAACAATTAGCCAGGCCTGGTGGCACACACCTGTGGTTCCAGCCACTTGGAAGGCTGAGGGGGAAGGACTGCCTGAGCCCAGCAGGCTAAGGCTATGGTGACCATGAGCATGCCACTGCACGCCAGCTTGGGTGACAGAGTGAGACTCTGACTCAAAAAAAAAAAAGGATTTACCCTTGCTTTGAACTTTTTACCTTAATGAGGAACACCTTTTGGTTGAGAGGCCAGTAGAAAGCTGCATCCAAGTTGGGTTCTACCCTATTCAGCTTCTTGGGGAAGCCAGGAGATAGCCTGAAATTCACGTAACGCCACACCCTGTCTCCTGAGAGCACAAGAGGAAGAACAAGTCACGACTATCTTTAGGTGACAGCTTTTGGTCCCATTCCATCCTTTCAGAAACTTCTCATCTCTCCCTCCCTTTTACGGCTTCTTTAAGACTGGGCTCTACTCAGGTAAGACACTGTGACCAACCCCCTTACCTTTAAAGAAATGAATCCATTGTGTTCGAGGAGAATAGACAGCGGCATCCAGGTTTCCTGGGAGCCCCTCCCAAAGGGCAGACACTCGGAACAAGGGACTCAGCCCCGAATCTGTCACAGTCCACACATAGTCCCCCTTGAAGGCATAGGTCTTCCCACGGGGCCCTGAGAGCAAATGTGTGTCAATGAGTCAAAAAGGTCAAATAGGAACTTGTGGGTGTCTCTGGCAGGCTGATAATTTGTCCTCCTCCTACAGGTTGATTCTTCAAAACTTCATTCAACTTTATTTATTAACTTATTTAATTTTTTTAGTTGAAGCCTTACTCTGTTGCCCAGGCTGGACTGCAGTGGCACGCTCACGGCCACCGCAGCCTCAAGCTGCTGGGCTTAGGCGATCCTTTTGCCTCAGCCTTCCAAGTAGCTGGAACTACAGGCGTGCACTACCACGCCCAGCTTT